TGCACCAGCATGTCCATGTATTGACACCAACATGTCCATGATTTGTACCAACATGACCATGTACTGACACCAACATGTCCATGTATTCACACCAACATGTCCATGTACTGACATCAACATGTCCATGATTTCCACCACCATGTCCATGTATTTGCACCAGCATGTCCATGTATTGGCACCAACATGTCCATGTATTGGCACCAACATGTCCATGTATTTGCACCAGCATGTCCATGTATTTGCACCAACATGTCCATGTATTGGCACCAACATGTCCATGTATTTGCACCAACATGTCAATGTATTGACACCAACATGTCCATGATTTGACATCAACATGCCCATGAATTGACATCAACATGCCCATGAATTGACACCAACATGTCCATGTATTTGCACCAACATGTCCATGTATTGGCACCAACATGTCCATGTATTTGCACCAAATGTCAATGTATTGACACCAACATGTCCATGATTTGACATCAACATGCCCATGAATTGACATCAACTTGTCCATGTATTTGCACCAACATGTCCATGTACTGACACCAACATGTCCATGTACTGACACCAACATGTCCATGAATTGACATCAACATGCCCATGAATTGACACCAACATGTCCATGTATTTGCACCAACATGTCCATGTACTGACACCAACATGTCCATGAATTGGCATCAACATGCCCATGAATTGACATCAACATGCCCATGAATTGACACCAACATGTCCATGTATTTGCACCAACATGTCAATGTACTGACACCAACATGTCCATGAATTGACACCAACATGCCCATGAATTGACATCAACATGTCCATGAATTGACATCAACATGTCCATGTATTTGCACCAACATGTCAATGTATTGACACCAACATGTCCATGTATTTGCACCAACATGTCAATGTACTGACACCAACATGTCCATGTACTGACACCAACATGTCCATCAATTGGCATCAACATGCCCATGAATTGACATCAACATGCCCATGAATTGACATCAACATGCCCATGAATTGACACCAACATGTCCATGTATTTGCACCAACATGTCAATGTACTGACACCAACATGTCCATGAATTGACACCAACATGCCCATGAATTGACATCAACATGTCCATGAATTGACATCAACATGTCCATGTATTTGCACCAACATGTCAATGTATTGACACCAACATGCCCATGATTTGTACCAACATGACCATGTATTTGCACCAACATGTCCATGTACTGACACCAACATGTCCATGAATTGACACCAACATGCCCATGAATTGACATCAACATGTCCATGAATTGACATCAACATGTCCATGTATTTGCACCAACATGTCAATGTATTGACACCAACATGTCCATGATTTGTACCAACATGACCATGTATTTGCACCAACATGTCCATGTATTGACACCAACATGTCCATGTACTGACACCAACATGTCCATGTATTTGCACCAACATGTCCATGAATTGACATCAACATGCCCATGAATTGACATCAACATGCCCATGTATTGACATCAACATGTCCATGTATTTGCACCAGCATGTCCATGTATTGACACCAACATGTCCATGATTTGTACCAACATGACCATGTACTGACACCAACATGTCCATGTATTCACACCAACATGTCCATGTACTGACATCAACGTGTCCATGATTTCCACCAACATGTCCATGTATTTGCACCAGCATGTCCATGTATTGGCACCAACATGTCCATGTATTGGCACCAACATGTCCATGTATTTGCACCAGCATGTCCATGTATTTGCACCAACATGTCCATGTATTGGCACCAACATGTCCATGTATTTGCACCAACATGTCAATGTATTGACACCAACATGTCCATGATTTGCACCAACATGTCCATGTATTTGCACCAGCATGTCCATGTGTTGGCACCAACATGTCCATGTATTTGCACCAAATGTCAATGTATTGACATCAACATGCCCATGAATTGACATCAACATGCCCATGAATTGACACCAACATGTCCATGTATTTGCACCAACATGTCCATGTGTTGGCACCAACATGTCCATGTATTTGCACCAAATGTCAATGTATTGACACCAACATGTCCATGATTTGACATCAACATGCCCATGAATTGACATCAACATGCCCATGAATTGACACCAACATGTCCATGTATTTGCACCAACATGTCCATGTATTGGCACCAACATGTCCATGTATTTGCACCAAATGTCAATGTATTGACACCAACATGTCCATGATTTGACATCAACATGCCCATGAATTGACATCAACTTGTCCATGTATTTGCACCAACATGTCCATGTACTGACACCAACATGTCCATGTACTGACACCAACATGTCCATGAATTGACATCAACATGCCCATGAATTGACACCAACATGTCCATGTATTTGCACCAACATGTCCATGTACTGACACCAACATGTCCATGAATTGGCATCAACATGCCCATGAATTGACATCAACATGCCCATGAATTGACACCAACATGTCCATGTATTTGCACCAACATGTCAATGTACTGACACCAACATGTCCATGAATTGACACCAACATGCCCATGAATTGACATCAACATGTCCATGAATTGACATCAACATGTCCATGTATTTGCACCAACATGTCAATGTATTGACACCAACATGTCCATGATTTGTACCAACATGACCATGTATTTGCACCAACATGTCCATGTATTGACACCAACATGTCCATGTACTGACACCAACATGTCCATGTATTTGCACCAAAATGTCCATGAATTGACATCAACATGCCCATGAATTGACATCAACATGCCCATGTATTGACATCAACATGTCCATGTATTGGCACCAACATGTCCATGTATTTGCACCAGCATGTCCATGTATTGACACCAACATGTCCATGATTTGTACCAACATGACCATGTACTGACACCAACATGTCCATGTATTCACACCAACATGTCCATGTACTGACATCAACATGTCCATGATTTGCACCAACATGTCCATGTATTTGCACCAGCATGTCCATGTATTGGCACCAACATGTCCATGTATTGGCACCAACATGTCCATGTATTTGCACCAGCATGTCCATGTATTTGCACCAACATGTCCATGTATTGGCACCAACATGTCCATGATTTGACATCAACATGCCCATGAATTGACATCAACATGTCCATGTATTTGCACCAACATGTCCATGTACTGACACCAATATGTCCATGTACTGACACAAACATGTCCATGAATTGCCACCAACATGCCCATGAATTGACATCAACATGTCCATGTATTTGCACCAACATGTCCATGTATTTGCACCAACATGTCCATGTATTTGCACCAACCTGTCAATGTATTGACACCAACATGTCCATGATTTGACATCAACATGCCCATGAATTGACATCAACATGTCCATGTATTTGCACCAACATGTCCATGTACTGACACCAACATGTCCACGTACTGACACCAACATGTCCATGAATTGACATCAACATGCCCATGAATTGACATCAACATGTCCATGTATTTGCACCAACATGTCCATGTACTGACACCAACATGTCCATGAATTGGCATCAACATGCCCATGAATTGACATCAACATGCCCATGAATTGACATCAACATGCCCATGAATTGACACCAACATGTCCATGTATTTGCACCAACATGTCCATGTACTGACACCAACATGTCCATGAATTGACACCAACATGCCCATGAATTGACATCAACATGTCCATGAATTGACATCAACATGTCCATGTATTTGCACCAACATGTCAATGTATTGACACCAACATGTCCATGATTTGTACCAACATGACCATGTATTTGCACCAACATGTCCATGTATTGACACCAACATGTCCATGTACTGACACCAACATGTCCATGTATTTGCACCAACATGTCCATGAATTGACATCAACATGCCCATGAATTGACATCAACATACCCATGTATTGACATCAACATGTCCATGTATTTGCACCAACATGTCCATGTATTTGCACCAGCATTGTTCATGTATTGACACCAACATGTCCATGATTTGTACCAACATGACCATGTACTGACACCAACATGTCCATGTATTCACACCAACATGTCCATGTACTGACATCAACATGTCCATGATTTGCACCAACATGTCCATGTATTTGCACCATCATGTCCATGTATTGGCACCAACATGTCCATGTATTGGCACCGACATGTCCATGTATTTGCACCAGCATGTCCATGTATTTGCACCAACATGTCCATGTATTGGCACCAACATGTCGATGTATTTGCACCAGCATGTCCATGTATTGACACCAACATGTCCATGTATTCACACCAACATGTCCATGTATTTGCACCAACATGTCCATATATTGACACCAACATGTCCATGTATTTGCACCAACATGTCCATGTATTGGCATCAACATGTCCATGTATTTGCACCAACATGTCCATGTACTGACATCAACATGTCCATGTATTTGCACCAACATGTCCATGTATTTGCACCAACATGTCCATGTATTGGCATCAACATGTCCATGTATTTGCACCAACATGTCCATGTCCTGACATCAACACGTCCATGTATTTGCACCAACATGTCCATGTATTTGCACCAACATGTCCATGTATTTGCACCAACATGTCCATGTATTTGCACCAACATGTCCATGTATTGGCACCAACATGTCCATGTATTTGCACCAACATGTCCATGTATTTGCACCAACATGTCCATGTATTGGCACCAACATGTCCATGTATTTGCACCAACATGTCCATGTATTTGCACCAACATGTCCATGTCAATTTCAATATGACTTCTCGTCTGTGATGTAGTCTGTATATAATGTTGAACATACTGCTAAGTACATATCGTGTCAGGTAAGACGTTGACATGAGTATTAACTTATTGATATCTGTTTCAATATTTTTTCTCAGCCCCTGGGACGAGATTTGCGTGGGGTCGGGAGTCGGCGGACGTCAGCCTCCCCTTCATCTGTGAGATCAGCCTGAATGAGGCGTACAGGATCATCCAGGCGGCCAGGGACCACAGTCAGTAACCTTTGTAGTCGTCGTGAGGATCATCATCATCATCATCATCATCACTATCATATTGTTATTAGGTTTGACGTATCATGATGGACGATGATTATCATTATAAGGATGATTATCATTATGACGATGATTATCATTATAAGGTTGATTATCATTATGACGATGATTATCATTATAAGGATGATTATCATTATGACGATGATTATCATTATAAGGATGATTATCATTATGACTATGATTATCATAATAAGGATGATTATCACTATGACGATGATTATCATTATAAGGTTGATTATCATTATAACGATGATTATCATTATAAGGATGATTATCATTATGACGATGACTATCATCATAAGGATGATTATCATTATGACGATGATTATCATTATAAGGATGATTATCATTATGACGATGATTATCATTATAAGGTTGATTATCATTCTGACGATGATTATCATTATAAGGATGATTATCATTATAAGGTTGATTATCATTATGACGATGATTATCATTATAAGGATGATTATCATTATGACGATGATTATCATTATAAAGTTGATTATCATTATGACGATTATTATCATTATAAGGTTGATTATCATTATGACGATGATTATCATGATAAGGATGATTATCACTATGACGATGATTATCATTATAAGGTTGATTATCATTATAACGATGATTATCATTATAAGGATGATTATCATTATGACGATGATTATCATTATAAGGATGATTATCATTATGACGATGATTATCATTATAAGGATGATTATCATTATAAGGTTGATTATCATTATGACGATGATTATCATTATGACGATGATTATCATTATAAGGTTGATTATCATTATGACGATGATTATCATTATAAGGTTGATTATCATTATGACGATGATTATCATTAAAAGGTTGATTATCATTATGACGATGATTATCATTATGACGATGATTATCATTATGACGATGATTATCATTATAAGGTTGATTATCATTATGACTATGATTATTATAATAAGGATGATTATCATTATGACGATGATTATCATTATAAGGTTGATTATCATTATGACGATGATTATAATTATTAGGATGATTATCATTATGACGGTGATTATCATTATAAGGTTGATTATCATTATGACGATGATTATCATTATAAGGTTGATTATCATTATAACGATGATTATCATTATAAGGATGATTATCATTATGACGATGATTATCATTATAAGGTTGATTATCATTATGACGATGATTATCATTATGACGATGATTATCATTATGACGATGATTATCATTATAAGTGTGATTATCATTATGACGATGATTATCATTATGAGGATGATTATCATTATAAGGTTGATTATCATTATGACGATGATTATCATTATGACGATGATTATCATTATAAGGTTGATTATCATTATGACGATGATTATCATTATGACGGTGATTATCATTATAAGGTTGATTATCATTATGACGATGATTATCATTATAAGGTTGATTATCATTATAACGATGATTATCATTATAAGGATGATTATCATTATGACGATGATTATCATTATAAGGTTGATTATCATTATGACGATGATTATCATTATGACGATGATTATCATTATGACGATGATTATCATTATAAGTGTGATTATCATTATGACGATGATTATCATTATGAGGATGATTATCATTATAAGGTTGATTATCATTATGACGATGATTATCATTATGACGATGATTATCATTATAAGGTTGATTATCATTATGACGATGATTATCATTATGACGATGATTATCATTATGACGATGATTATCATTATAAGGTTGATTATCATTATGACGATGATTATCATTATAAGGTTGATTATCATTATGACTATGATTATTATAATAAGGATGATTATCATTATGACGATGATTATCATTATAAGGTTGATTATCATTATGACGATGATTATAATTATGACGATGATTATCATTATGACGGTGATTATCATTATAAGGTTGATTATCATTATGAGGATGATTATCATTATGACGATGATTATTATCATAAGGATGATTATCATTATGACGATTATTATCATTATATTATCATTTGGGCGTTATTATAATGACGATGATTATCATTGTGACGATGATTATTATTATGACGATGTCATGGGAAATTCCCCTTATGAAAAGACAAAACAATTGTGATAAAGGTAATTTGATGTCAATAATTTCACAATACTTTTAAGAAAGTTTGGATTCCTTTAGGGAGAGTAGGTCCACAATATATTTTATGCTCGCCATCACGTGGAGATTCCGTGTATGAATATGTCACCAGTACACCATGCTTACCTCCACGCGAGGATTCCAAGCTGTGGACCAATTCTAACACGGAATCCCCAGGGGGCGTCATGAATAACATTGCTCCCATCACCCAGGTTATGGAACGACGGCCACCGACCTTAACGACATTGTGAAGGGTCCCAAGTTCTCTATCACCCCGAGTGACCTGGTAGTTGTGGGCACGACTTTGGATGCATTTATCGAGTGTGCGGCCTCGGGACACCCCCTCCCCACCTACCGATGGATGAAGAAAGATACTGAAGGTGCATGGCGGCAGGTGACGTCACAGACAAGTTCACGCTACACCCTGACCAATGGGAAGTTGACCTTTGTCAACCCAAGCGCTACACAAGACGTGGGGGACTTCCAATGTGCTGCCGAGAACGAGAAGGGCATAATTTTGAGTGACCCCATCCAGGTTTCCTTTGGGTGTAAGTAGCGTCAACAACAAACAAACAAACAAGTACATGAAGTCAAACGCACTCAGTAGCGCATAAATTTGGGCAGACATTTTTTAAATTGTAAACCTATTTTTATTTAATATGTTTTATGTTATTTTCGGTATGACTCGATATTCTGTGCCACGATATCATACAATATGGTAAGTTATATATGTTACTCAAAAGAAGTACAGGATCACTCGAATCTTTCATATTTCTATAGTTCATCTGTCACGTCACGACGTGGCCCTTAACTTCTTTTGAGCAGTATATAAGGTACCCAAGTAAAATTGTAAAATAATTTTAGAATGCCATTTCCTGCCGGAATGCACAAGATGCCTCCAGCCACCTTTTAATTAATTGGCTAAAATCTACTTAATATGTTTTATTTGGGCTTCTTTTAATTTCCTTTGATAATTGAGTACATGTATGTCTCTCAGCACAAGCGTCCTTTTGTACTATCGTAATGCGCATCGTACTGTGTATCGTATCAAGACCTCGCTATCGCGATATGTATCGTATGACGACAAAGTGTATCTTACAAACCAACGAGACACCAAGAGACACAGGTTGTCTAGCGTATATATATATACGCTATTCAACAGTTACTGAGCACCACGTCCGTATACTTAGCCGTCCATATACCTATAACTAACTTCCACTTTCAGACCTATATGAGTTCTCTAATGACCCCCCGGGAGCGGTGCGAGCCCCTCTCTACCAGGGCACTGTCGTCAGCTGTAACCCCCCGAACTTCAATCCAGGTAAGTGCTATTCACACTTTGAAGGTATTAATTCACTCATGCCATCTATTCATCATGTTGACTGTATGTACCCCATACATCACTTAAATGTCGACAGCATGTACTCAATACATCACTTATATGTCGACAGTATGTACTCCATACATCACTTATATGTCGACAGTATGTACTCGATACATCACTTATATGTCGACAGCATGTACTCCATACATCACTTATATGTCGACAGTATGTACTCCATACATCACTTAAATGTCGACTGCATGTACTCGATACATCACTTATATGTCGACTGCATGTACTCCATACATCACTTATATGTCGACAGTATGTACTCCATACATCACTTATATGTCGACTGCATGTACTCCATACATCACTTAAATGTCGACTGCATGTACTCCATACATCACTTATATGTCGACAGTATGTACTCCATACATCACTTAAATGTCGACAGTATGTACTCCATACATCACTTATATGTCGACAGTATGTACTCCATACATCACTTATATGTCGACAGTATGTTCTCGATACATCACTTATATGTCGACAGTATGTACTCAATACATCACTTATATGTCGACAGTATGTACTCCATACATCACTTATATGTCGACAGTATGTACTCCATACATCACTTATATGTCGACAGTATGTACTCCATACATCACTTAAATGTCGACAGCATGTACTCCATACATCACTTAAATGTCGACAGTATGTACTCAATACATCACTTGAATGTCGACAGTATGTACTCCATACATCACTTGAATGTCGACAGTATGTACTCAATACATCACTTATATGTCGACTGCATGTACTCCATACATCACTTAAATGTCGACAGTATGTACTCAATACATCACTTATATGTCGACAGTATGTACTCCATACATCACTTATATGTCGACTGCATGTACTCCATACATCACTTAAATGTCGACAGTATGTACTCAATACATCACTTATATGTCGACTGCATGTACTCCATACATCACTTAAATGTCGACTGCATGTACTCCATACATCACTTATATGTCGACAGTATGTACTCCATACATCACTTAAATGTCGACAGTATGTACTCCATACATCACTTATATGTCGACAGTATGTACTCCATACATCACTTATATGTCGACAGTATGTTCTCGATACATCACTTATATGTCGACAGTATGTACTCAATACATCACTTATATGTCGACAGTATGTACTCCATACATCACTTAAATGTCGACAGTATGTACTCCATACATCACTTATATGTCGACTGCATGTACTCCATACATCACTTATATGTCGACAGTATGTACTCCATACATCACTTAAATGTCGACAGTATGTACTCCATACATCACTTATATGTCGACAGTATGTACTCCATACATCACTTATATGTCGACAGTATGTTCTCGATACATCACTTATATGTCGACAGTATGTACTCCATACATCACTTATATGTCGACTGCATGTACTCCATACATCACTTAAATGTCGACAGTATGTACTCAATACATCACTTATATGTCGACTGCATGTACTCCATACATCACTTAAATGTCGACTGCATGTACTCCATACATCACTTATATGTCGACAGTATGTACTCCATACATCACTTAAATGTCGACAGTATGTACTCCATACATCACTTATATGTCGACAGTATGTACTCCATACATCACTTATATGTCGACAGTATGTTCTCGATACATCACTTATATGTCGACAGTATGTACTCAATACATCACTTATATGTCGACAGTATGTACTCCATACATCACTTAAATGTCGACAGTATGTACCCCATACATCACTTAAATGTCGACAGTATGTACTCCATACATCACTTATATGTCGACAGTATGTACTCCATACATCACTTAAATGTCGACTGCATGTACTCCATACATCACTTAAATGTCGACTGCATGTACTCCATACATCACTTATATGTCGACAGTATGTACTCCATACATCACTTATATGTCGACAGTATGTACTCCATACATCACTTATATGTCGACAGTATGTACTCCATACATCACTTAAATGTCGACAGCATGTACTCCATACATCACTTAAATGTCGACAGTATGTACTCAATACATCACTTGAATGTCGACAGTATGTACTCCATACATCACTTGAATGTCGACAGTATGTACTCAATACATCACTTATATGTCGACTGCATGTACCCCATACATCACTTAAATGTCGACAGTATGTACTCAATACATCACTTATATGTCGACAGTATGTACTCCATACATCACTTATATGTCGACAGCATGTACTCCATACATCACTTATATGTCGACAGTATGTACCCCATACATCACTTAAATGTCGACAGCATGTACTCCATACATCACTTAAATGTCGACAGCATGTACCCCATACATCACTTATATGTCGACAGCATGTACCCCATACATCACTTATATGTCGACAGTATGTACTCCATACATCACTTATATGTCGACAGTATGTACCCCATACATCACTTAAATGTCGACAGCATGTACTCAATACATCACTTAAATGTCGACAGCATGTACTCCATACATCACTTGAATGTCGACTGCATGTACTCCATACATCACTTATATGTCGACAGTATGTACTCAATACATCACTTATATGTCGACAGTATGTACTCAATACATCACTTATATGTCGACAGCATGTACCCCATACATCACTTATATGTCGACAGTATGTACCCCATACATCACTTAAATGTCGACAGCATGTACTCAATACATCACTTATATGTCGACAGTATGTACTCCATACATCACTTAAATGTCGACAGCATGTACTCCATACATCACTTAAATGTCGACAGTATGTACTCCATACATCACTTGAATGTCGACTGCATGTACTCCATACATCACTTATATGTCGACTGCATGTACTCCATACATCACTTAAATGTCGACAGTATGTACTCAATACATCACTTATATGTCGACTGCATGTACTCCATACATCACTTAAATGTCGACAGTATGTACTCCATACATCACTTAAATGTCGACAGTATGTACTCCATACATCACTTGAATGTCGACTGCATGTACTCCATACATCACTTAAATGTCGACAGTATGTACTCCATACATCACTTATATGTCGACAGTATGTACTCCATACATCACTTAAATGTCGACAGCATGTACTCCATACATCACTTATATGTCGACAGTATGTACTCCATACATCACTTAAATGTCGACAGTATGTACTCCATACATCACTTATATGTCGACAGCATGTACTCCATACATCACTTAAATGTCGACTGCATGTACTCCATACATCACTTATATGTCGACTGTATGTACTCCATACATCACTTAAATGTCGACAGTATGTACTCCATACATCACTTAAATGTCGACAGTATGTACTCCATACATCACTTATATGTCGACAGTATGTACTCCATACATCACTTATATGTCGACTGCATGTACTCCATACATCACTTAAATGTCGACTGCATGTACTCCATACATCACTTATATGTCGACAGTATGTACTCCATACATCACTTAAATGTCGACAGTATGTACTCCATACATCACTTATATGTCGACTGCATGTACTCCATACATCACTTAAATGTCGACAGTATGTACTCCATACATCACTTATATGTCGACAGTATGTACTCCATACATCACTTATATGTCGACTGTATGTACTCCATACATCACTTATATGTCGACAGTATGTACTCCATACATCACTTATATGTCGACTGTATGTACTCCATACATCACTTAAATGTCGACTGCATGTACTCCATACATCACTTAAATGTCGACAGTATGTACCCCATACATCACTTATATGTCGACAGTATGTACTCCATACATCACTTGAATGTCGACTGCATGTACTCCATACATCACTTAAATGTCGACTGCATGTACTCCATACATCACTTAAATGTCGACTACATGTACTCCATACATCACTTATATGTCGACAGTATGTACTCCATACATCACTTATATGTCGACAGTATGTACTCCATACATCACTTGAATGTCGACTGCATGTACTCGATACATCACTTAAATGTCGACTGCATGTACTCCATACATCACTTATATGTCGACAGTATGTACTCCATACATCACTTATATGTCGACTGCATGTACTCCATACATCACTTATATGTCGACAGTATGTACTCCATACATCACTTAAATGTCGACAGTATGTACTCCATACATCACTTGAATGTCGACTGCATGTACTCCATACATCACTTATATGTCGACAGTATGTACTCCATACATCACTTAAATGTCGACAGTATGTACTCCATACATCACTTATATGTCGACAGTATGTACTCCATACATCACTTAAATGTCGACAGTATGTACTCCATACATCACTTAAATGTCGACTGCATGTACTCCATACATCACTTATATGTCGACAGTATGTACTCCATACATCACTTATATGTCGACTGCATGTACTCCATACATCACTTATATGTCGACAGTATGTACTCCATACATCACTTATATGTCGACTGCATGTACTCCATACATCACTTATATGTCGACAGTATGTACTCAATACATCACTTATATGTCGACAGTATGTACTCCATACATCACTTATATGTCGACAGTATGTACTCCATACATCACTTATATGTCGACAGTATGTACTCCATACATCACTTATATGTCGACAGTATGTACTCCATACATCACTTGAATGTCGACTGCATGTACTCGATACATCACTTAAATGTCGACTGCATGTACTCCATACATCACTTAAATGTCGACAGTATGTACTCCATACATCACTTAAATGTCGACAGTATGTACTCCATACATCACTTGAATGTCGACAGTATGTACTCAATACATCACTTATATGTCGACTGCATGTACTCCATACATCACTTAAATGTCGACAGTATGTACTCAATACATCAC